GTCTAATGTCCTGACTGCTGCTTCCGTTGGCATCGATTGTAGAACCAAGCAACGTGAATTCTTTGACAACCTCAATCTTCTCTCCATTTATCGTGATGCTGCCAGGGGCTACTGGACAAAAATGGCCTTTATCACCATATAATCAATGTTCATTGTTGTTGTTAGGCTCCATCGAGTTGGCTCTGACTCACAGCGGCCCTATGTATGACAGAACAAAACACTGCCCGGGCCTGTGCCAGCCTCATAATCCTTGCTATACCTGAGCCCATCATTCTAGCCACTAGGTCAATCCATCTTCCTTGACCCTCCACTTCACCAAGCATGATATCCTTCTCCTGGGACTGGTCCCTTCTGACTATGAGACCAAAATAGGTGAGACGAAGTTTGGCCATTCTTGTTTCCAAGGAGCTTTCCAGGTGCACTTCCAGGACAGATTTGTTTGTTCTTCTGGCAGTCCATGCTATTTTCAGTATTCTTCATCAAAACCACAATTCAAGCACATCAACTCTTCTACAGACTTCCTTATTCACTGTCCAGCTTTGACATACATATGAGGTAACTGAATAATACCATGGGGTGGGTTAGGTGAGGAGCTCTGGTAGCATAGTGCCTAAGGTATCTAACTGCTAACCAGAAGGCTGGAGGTTCAAACCCACCAGCCACTCCTCGGAAGGAAGGTTGGGCAATCTACTTCCGTAGCGATACTGCCTCAGAAACCCAAGCAGGGGTCGGTATGAGTCTGGTTTGACTTGACAGCAGTGAGTTTGGTTTGTGTTAGGTGCACCTTAGTTTTCAAAATGGCATCTTTGCTTCTTAACACTTTAAAGAGGTCTTCTGCAGCAGATCTGCCCAGTGCAATACAATGTCTGACTTCTTCACTACTGATTTCATGGGTATTAATTGTGGATCCAAGTACAACAAAATCCCTGACAACTTCAATCATTTCTCCATTTACTATGATGTTACTTATTGGTCCAGTTGTAAGGCTTTTCATTTTATGTTGAGGTGCAATCCACACAGAACACTGTAGTCTTTGATCTTCATCAGTAAGTGCCTCAAGTCATCTTCATTTACAGCAAGGAAGGTTGTGTCATCTGCATACTGCAGCTTGTTAATGAATCTTCCTCCAATCCTGCTGCTTTGTTCTTCTTCTTATAGTCCAGCTTCTCAGGTTATTTGCTCAGCAGATAGATTGAGTAACTATGATAAAAGGATACAATCCTGACACACACCCTCCCTGATTTTAAACCAGGCAGTATCCCCTTGTTTTGTTTGAATGACAGCCTCTTGGTCAATGTACGGATTCCTCATGATCACAATTAAGTGTTCTGGAATTCCCATTCTTTGCAATATTGTACATAATTTGTTATAATCCACATATTTTAATGCCTTCATATAGTCAATAAAACACAGGTAAACATCTTTCTGGTATTCTTTGCTTTGAGCCAAGATCCATCTGACATCAGCAATGATATCCCTTATCCCATGTCCTCTTCTGTATCCAGCTTGAATTTCTGGTAATTCCCTGCCAATATACTGCTGTGCTCTGGTTATCTAGTGCTGCTCTGACAGGAATATACCACAAATGGGAAGGCTTAAACAAACAGGAGTTTATTCTCTTACAGTTCAAGAGGCTAGAAGTCCAAGTTCCTAGTGCCAGGCTCTAGGGACTGGGTGAAAGCCCCTGGACCTTGGGCTTCAGTTCTGCCTGTTGCTCCCAGCCCACTGAAACTAGAGGCATCTCTCCACTCAGGCAGCTACTGGCTGCTGAGGCTAACAAGCCCAAGGTCGACAAATAAAATGTCACAGTCCTGATGTTACCCAACCACACAGCAAGCCATTAATTTAAGTCCATTTTAAGTTTCAAGGTCGGCAGAGCATGGCAGGCTGCTGAACAATGACACGGCTACATGCAGGGTTCAAGCGTGCCATAAGCTCGAGGCCATTCCCAAAGCTGCTTCTTATATATGGGGAGCAGACCACATGCCTAAACCAGCTACTCAGCTGCTTGTGGTAGATCCCACCATGGAGTTGATTGCCAGAATTATCATGGGGAATAACTACCACCAGCTGCCCAGCCACTCAACCAGGCCCAGTCAAGTTGACACACAAACATAACCATCACATGCTGCAACTGTTTTTTAATTATCTTCAGCAAAATTTTACTTGCATGTGATATTAATGATATTGTTCAATAATTTCCACATTCTGTAGAATCACTTTTCTTTGGAACAGGCATA